TCAATCTTACACAAACACAACGGTTTCTTTCATTAATCAAGAACAATAACTTGGTTCAACATTAATTTATGAAAGAAACGACTTATGAAAGAAAGGAAACATGGTAAAAACTGTCTGCGTCGAAGTGAGTAGAAGCAACACAACAGCACCCAGAAACGAAATGATTGTCCATGGACTATTGAAGTAATTATGCCTTAATTTTGCAGTCCATATGTTCCAACGCCGTCCACAATGCTCATTGATATCATTGAAAACTTCGGAGTAACAAAAGCCATCGCGAGACACAAAGACACAAGTAGAAGCTTTGGTAAACATGGCGCAAATAGCTTCGTCATCGCCTAGCATGTTATTGATTATTCCATTACGACGGAGCAAGCTGACATCCTTGGACGAGTTGATGAGGCAAAACATGAAAGTCAAATAATCTGTGACATATTTAGGGTTCGAATCTTGAAGATGCTGCTCGTGCGCAATTATATTTCTAAAAAGGCACTCGGTCTTCTCTTCAACTGTGAATTGTGGGATTTCCAGTGTCCCATTTACAAACTTTATATTGAGCAAAGGAGTTCTATGATTAGCCTTCTTGAATCTAATCCCCGCCTCGTGCAGCTCTGTGGCACAATGTATGAATTCCGATCTCTTTTCCTTCTTTCCAAGATTTCTTTGTGCGAGCAGTTTTGCAAACGAATGAGAGGTTACATGGTGTGCTAGGTCAAGAACATGCTTCACGTCATGGGGTAAAACCAAAGAGGAAGGTTTTAAAATCTTTTCAGGACTGGGCAATATAGAGTAATAGTAATATTCCCTAGTGCAATAATAGTATCGCATGGCTAAATCAATGATATTGTCTCGGGGGTCTGGAATTTTGGTCATTTCAAACAATTGTACGAGGATAAAGAATGGAAGTTGATTTTCAAATAACAATAAGTCACGCCATATGATATGGTGGATCCACTCCATTTTGAACAAAGGGTCATGCCCATCTTGCATACTTCTGATGGTGAATTTGCGAAATAACTCAATGATAAAACAGCTGTCGAGAAGCATCATTACCACAAACTCGTCTTTATTAAGGCTTACAGAGTCTGCATAACATCTACGTGCTCTTTCTTGCAAATCTCTCATGGCTACGATGTATCTATCCACGCTCGTCTCATTTCTTCGTTTAAGAAGTTGTTGTGTGTTTTTGCTTGTGAGTGTCCCCTGGTGTGCCCACGATCCGCAACATATCTATCCACGCTCGTCTCATTTCTTCGTTTAAGAAGTTGTTGCAAATTCCATAGCTTGTGGTCTTCCATCACTCTGTTGGCTTTATGGTGGTGATATGGGCCAATTGCCAGTATTTCTGGTTCATAAGCCTTTTCATTTTGTCTGCGAAGTCGATCATACACTCTGTAGATATTACATTCACAGTGCCTATGAGACAGGTGAGTAAGCTTATCGTCTAAATGAAGGGAGACATGATCTTCAACTCTTGAATTGGGCACCATATCTCATAAAATTAGTGGAAACTCTGTCAAAACAAAATCAACAAAAATAAAATTTGTTAACCAAAATAAAAAAAAAAAAAATTAAAAACAGAGGATTGTGCAAAGTGTCTACATGCTTCACCATATGTAAATATAAATAAATTAAATTAAAAAGATGTAGCAGATGAAGGAAGTGTAGTTCATGAAATTAAAATTAAAATTTTTTTAAAAAAATGTTTACAACAACATAGAACTTACATATTAGAAACTACAAAGTTCTTCTTGCTAGTTACTCTGTTTCCTTCTTTGCATGTGGGTATGATTGAATTTGAAAATGAGAGCTAGGTCCCTTATAAAAAGCACTCAGTCATGACAGAGAGGAAAGGAGAGCATGCTTTTGTTTGCTTTAAAATTGCGGTTGCTTTTGCTTTTGTGAACCAGCATCCCAACTTTTTTGGGATTGACATGAAGCCACTACAAACTTTCACTTAGCTGGGGTCCACCTTCGCTTACTATTTAAATTGTCGGCATTATAGGATTCATCAAGTAAAAATGTAAAAAGTAAAGTGGTTAAAGTATCATTACATTGGATCATATATTAATAAAATTAAAAATGAGTGAAAGCATTAAAAAGAGGAGCACTATTAGCTCTAAAGTGGTGTGGGTCTTACATGATGGAATGTTTTGCTCGTGTTTTTTTTTTTTTTTTGAATTTTCACCTCATTAGTGGTTCATTAGTGCTTCCAAATTAGTGAGATGAATCATTGTTGTAATAAAATAGACGGTAAATATAATTTGAGAATAAATTGCTCATTTTTTTAAAACATGTGTTATCTGATTAGGTGGGTGCTAATATCATATTAACTTAAATTTTCACATATTATGATATTGAATTATTTGAATTTAAAATAGCCCTCACCAATCAACACAACAAAACCCCGCCCATGGTGAATAATTGAGTCACATGATGGGTCTATTATATGGCATCAATGCTAGAAATTTACAAACTTTATTAAAATATATTCAAAAAAAATTATGTAATTTAAAATTATTTTAAGTGCAAATTCTATCATATAAAAATTGAATCTGAACAACACGTCACTTTTTTTGGATGAGTTTTCTACACCAATTAAAAAAGAAAAATTTTATTTGTGAGGTTCTCTTAGTTCTTATCTACCGCGGATCATTTGGGCCATATCTTTGTATCTTATTCTTTTATCAAAATTGTGTTGTGTTATAAGAAGATTTGCGCCAAATCATACCAGAAAAAAGAATCCAAAGAATTCCATGCTGTGCCCACATCTCAAACCCCAGAGAGAGAGAGAGGGGGAGAGAGAGGGATGAGAGAGTGATGTTGCCTTTCAGTTTAGAGCACATCAAGAAAAAATAAGCAGAAGAAAAATAAAAATAAAAATAAAAACAAAAGCATGAAAGAAATTAAAAAAGTAGGGGTTGCAGAAATCGAATTTAAAACATATTTCTGCATACTTTGCAAAACCTACTGTGTGTGTCCACACAATTTTTAGCCCAGTCAATCAAGTATATACCATGGAATCTGCAGTGGTGGAACCATTGTTTGCAATATTAAATCCATTATTGTTTACTTTACACTACTACAATAATGGTAAGTGGGTATATTTCATATCGATAAAGACAGTGGCAATCGAAAATAAATTATAATTTTTATGAATGTCACTTTATTATAGTTTATTCAATAAAGCATTAAATGTTGTGGCAAAATTTAATATCATATTTGTTTTCTCCTCTCTCTGCACCCAGTTGTTGAATGATTATTAGTAATAAAATATTACTGCTTTGTTGATCTTTAAAAAAATAAAAATAAAATAAAACCGCTCAATCACCTCGTGCATACATTAGTGCTCTCCTCGCTTCTCTTCAAGCATCTCTTGCTCAAACAATCAAAACAAGACAATAGTCCTTTACTCTTATTTTTTTATTTTTTATTTTTTTTTGGTCACGGAAAGTATACCCTTTGGTGACCAAAAAAAAAAGTTGGTCGTAGAAAGTATACTATTGGCGACCAAAAGCTTTTTTGGTCGCAGAAGATTACCCTTTGGTGACCAAGAAAAAAAGTTGGTCGCGGAAAGTTTGCTATTGGCGACCAAAGGCTTTTTTGGTCGCGGAAGATCACCTTTTGGCGACCAAAAAAAAAAAGTTGGTCGCGAAAAGTCTACTATTGGCGACCAGAGGCTTTTTTTGTCGCGGAAGATTACCCTTTGGCGACCAAAAAAAAAAGTTGGTCGCAGAAAGTTATGGCGGGATAAATTTAAAAAAATAATAATACTACAGTAATTATATGCTATTTTCTATTTAGGCATTAAAAGTTTTATAAAATAATATATAACCCAATTTTTATGGGTTATATATATTTTTTGTCAAATATGAACAAGAAGTATGCTATTGGCAGAGTGGATTGGGTGCATGGTAACTCCTTGGTCAGGAGTTCAAGTCCTAGGGAGCACAAAAAAATTATTTTTTTAGGGTCAAGGCGCTGACTTTTGGCGACCAACTTATCTTTGGTCGCTAAAAGTTTACTTTTGGCTAATATGAATTGGACTTTTCGAGACCAAAAAAGTTGGTCGCGAATGGTCACTTTTAACGACCAAAGGCTTTTTTGGTCGCAGAAAACTATCTGTGACGAGGCTTTAGCGACCAACTTGCGACCAATATATTTTGGTCGCGAAAATATTTTAGCGACCAAATATGATACTTTTCGCGACCAAACATGTTCGTCAGGGAAAGTGTTTTTTCTAGTAATGTTTATTCAATAAAGCATTAAATGTTGTGGCAAAATTTAATATCATATTTGTTTTCTCCTCTCTCTCTCTCTGTGCACCCAGTTGTTGAATGATTATTAGTAATAAAATATTACTTCTTTGTTGATCTTTAAAATAATAAAAATAAAATAAAACCGCTCAATCACCTCGTGCATACATTAGTGCTCTCCTCACTTCTCTTCACGCATCTCTTGCCCAAACAATCAAAACAAGACAACAGTCATTTACTCCTTTTTTTCACGGATATATTACAATGACTTTTTTGAAATTTTAAAAAAATATATGAAATTTAAAAAAAATATATTAAATTTAATAATTTTAATATAATTATATTAATTTTTTTTAATAAGATTAAATGTATCAAACTAACACAGATATCATAAAAATACAAAATAAATAATATAAAATATATATTTTAGTATAAAAGAGATAATAAAAAAATTTCATCCGTATAACTAACAAATTATTGATAATTAAAAAAAAGAAAAAGAATTAAGTGTTTTATAAATTAAAATAACAAAAAAACTAAATGTAATTATGTCAATTTTTTTTTTTTTTTTTCAAATTCATATTCTCACTATATTTTTATGTATAACTTATGGATCTTCAATGAATTCCATCAACCCAATCAGGTGGACTCTTCGGATCAACCATAACAAATACATCAATAAAAAAAAACTATTGGAACAACCTTTTCTCAATCCCCCAAGATCTTGGGAATTGTTGTAGGCTCTTCGTTTTTTATGGACAAAAGGAAATTTATTGATGATTTATGTAGTACAAGCGGTACAACAAATTCCAAATTACATCTATAAGACAGGTCTTAAAAACAGAGCAACTGATGAACTAACTATACAAGTTTATTTAAAAGGTGAGATAATGTTTGATACTGTGATGACAGACATGATTTAAGATTTAAGGTGAAACATAAGAAAGAATAGAAAGTACAGTTTGTAGGATTGTCAAAACAAGTAGCAGAACAGCAGCAAGAAAGGAAAGCAAAGACCATGGACTGTTCAAATAATTCCGCCTCAAGTTTGCCATCCACACGTTCAACCGTCGCTTACAATGCTTATTCAATTTATTGGAGATTTCTGAATAATTGAATGGGGTGACAGATAACATGATGTTCTTGTCTATCTTGTTCAACATTGTATTGACCACTTCATCATCCCCTATCCAGTTTTGAATAATTCCACTCCGACGAAGTATCTCAACATCTTGTGAAGAATTGATGAGCCAATCCATGAAGGCGATATAGTCACAAACATATTTCGGATAGGCATCTGGTAAGCATTGCTCGTATGCGACTAGGTTTCTAATGGGAGATTCTATTGTGTCTGTAACTCGTAACTGTGGGATCTCCACTACCCCATTTGTGAAATTTATATCAAATATACTACTTCTATTAACCATCTTGAATTCAACCCCAGCCTCTTGGAGCTCTGTTGCTGAGTCTATAAAGGTCCATGGCACAATCACATTTTCAACACTTCTGCGAGTTTCAGCAAACGAAGAGCACCAACCATCATGTACCAAGTTGAGTATGTGCTTGATCTCATGGATTGGTTTTGCATTAGGAACGTCTAACTTTTGATGTGGTAACACATGTCGCAAGAAATTTAGGGACAACCTAACAATGTCATCTTGTGGGCTTTCAACCTTAGTCATGTTGAACAACTCAACCAGGATAAAGAATGGAAGTTGATTCTCAAATAACAATAAATCGCGCCTTAAGACATTGCGAACTAGACACAATTGGTAAATGGGATCATCCACATCTATCAATCCCCTCATCTCAAACTTGCGAAACAACTCGATGATAAAACAACCATCAAGAAGCATCATTTGCACAAATTCATCTGTGTTGAGATTGATGGAGCCTGCATAGGATTTCCGCGCTCTTTCTTCCAATTCTCTCATGGCCCTGACATATCTGTCCACACTCGTCTCATTTCTTCGTTTAACAAGCTTTTGCAAATACCATAATTTGTTTTCTTCCATTTGTTTGAGGTTATCTTTACCATGATGGTAAGGACCAATAGCAAGTATTTCCGGTTCATAGGCTTTCTCATTTTCCCTACGGAGTCGGTCTGGCACTCTGAATATACAACACTCAGTACTTGTTGGAGATAATTGAGAAAGCTTTTCATCGATATAGAGGGAGACATGATCAGAATTTTTTTTGGACATATGTAAATGTCTCCTGTAAATAGAATAAGATATTTTGTGATAAACAAATTTCCAAGAGTTGGCTAGAATAGTACTCGAATTCTCAAGCCGAAAATCATATATAGAAATAACTCATAGCAATGAAACCTTGGAAAACATTTTGCATGATGCAAAGTTTAGGCTTGAAAAAACAAAATAGGGCAAATTACATTGATAGTCCCTACATTTTGGCTCTTATGCTATTTTTGTTTCTACACTTTCAATTGGCTCAATTTAACTTTTAATTTTAAATTTTGTGTCAACTTAGTCTAATTGATAATGCTTTAGTGTTTTGATAGAAAATTATTACTGAATTAATTAAAGGACTCGCTACGTTGAGTAAGTTTATAATTTTGCCCTTACACGTGTAACACGTGCCACATTTTTCATTAACAAAATGTTAAGGGTTATAATCAATTGGACTAATTTAAGACGGTCATAAATTCAAGGTAAAAATTGAGTCAATTGAAATTACAAGGACCAAAATGACACAAGAACCAAAGTACAAGGACTACTGTTATAATTTGCCCAAGAAAAAAAATAAAACTCGAGGATCGAGAAAGGAAAATGTTGTACATATGTGCAAAATTAATATTGGTTTCAATCACATAATAAAATAGTAATAAATGATCAAAGCACACATAGAGAACATAAAATAGTAATAAACTCGGCGAGACGACTACGTCTATGGTGGGGGAAAAAATCAAGATCCACCATATACAATAAGCATTTCAAGAACAATTCCGCAACTCTCTTTTGTGAAACACTCTAAAACGCTACCTGAAAATAACAATATAGACAACTAAATCTTTGGGCCAGGGGCTGCTGTTGGACCTTTTACTCCGGCTCAGAGTCTTGGCCCTCCGCCTTGGTTTAAAAAAAAGTAAAAAAGAAAATAAAAAGAAAAAAGAGTACTCTGAATGTACAGTGACACAAGACACTTCACAAAAGTACACAATCTCATTTCTCATAGCATTTTTTTTTCACTCTATACACAATTTGAAAAAGCACAGTCCAACAACACGTGTAACTCTTCCTAAAAATCAATGGAAGAAAAAAGAGCCCCCATAACAACCAACATAACGATAACGGGTCCAACAATGGGGGAGAAATACTCTGTATTGGTAGATGTATTTTATTTTTGATTGTTTTGGTTTGGGATTTGCATAATCTTTTGGGATGTGGCTTTAAGCAATAATGATTTTTGTCCAAACTCCAGTTTGATGTTTTCCTGTTATGTATCTTGTACTACATTATCTCATCAATAAAATTAATTTTTGACGATGTAAAAAAAAATTACCTTAAATACTCGGCGTTGAAGACGAGGCTAGCTAGTCGTGAGGTTTCTGATTAACCAGTGAAGCTTTTGATCAGGAGGTTGAATCATACGTTCATGCAAATAGAAGAGAAACATATATAAGAACATCTTCATATAAAAGACATTGCTTCTTTCAATGAAGTACGGTATCAATTATAAACTACATATAGCAATATTCTTACCCTTTTAACTCTTATTGTGAATGGACCAGTGATGAAACACTCCCTTTATGCACCAATTTATACTGTTGACAACAAATTAACAGGAAAATATTATGGGTATTATACTTTGCTCAGTGGAAGAAGAAATGTCATATGCTCAAACAGCAAAATGAGATGCCACTCCTCGCTTCAAAGAATCCTACGAGCATTTCCGTACACTACAAAGTGCTTTTGGAATCAGAAACAGCACCAAAATTACTCTTATTACCGTTTGTGTCAGAAGTTGGGACAATTCCACATCGCCTGGGGAGACGGAGACGGACCAACTTCACCTTATAAGCGTACTGGCCCCTCAACCTATTACAACGTGTTTTCTCTGGAGGAGGAACAAAGCAATGAGGCCGACGGGGCTCCGTGCCCTCCTCGCCAAAGCGGACAATATTGTAGCAGGCACGCAGGCGCCAGGCACGCGCATTTGGCGCTAGAAGGAAGGCCCGTTTCTTCCCTCACTGTTGCGAGCCCAGTCCGCTGTGGTTATGTTGGGGCAATCCCACATTGCCTAGGGAGACGAACCGACTTCACCTTATAAGCGTACTGGCCCCTCAACCTATTACAACGTGTTTTCTCCCGAGGAGGAACAAAGTGCGCATGCTTGGCGCTTGCGTGCCTGCCACAATTCCGCTTTGGTGAGGTGGACGCGGAGCCTCATCGGCCTCACAGGTTTGCTCCTCCTCAAAGGAAAACGCGTTGTCACAGGTTGAGGGGACAATATGCTTATAAAATGAAGTCAATCCGTCTCCCCAAGCAGAGGCGGAGCCAAAGAAGGCCCAAGGGGATCACGTGCCCCCTCTCAATTTTGAACTTTTTTTATTTTTGTTTTGTGGTCATATACAAAATGTATTTTTTTTTTCTTAACATTTTCTTTGGCTAACGATTTATTGTATTGTTCACAATAAGTAGTTATTTGATACTTTGGGAGTACTTATATGTAGTAGTTTAAACCAATAATGTAGTGGAAAATCGTATGGATTGAATATAATTAACTTATTATTTTCAGGTAGTACTTAGTGTGATTTATGATTTCTCATGCTTTGAGCATTGCATAGGCAACGCCATATGATACTCTAAGTCTATTTAAAAATTTTCATTCAAAACACATCATTTATAAGCAATATCGTCTCTTTAATATTTTTTATCAAATAAAAATTAAATTTACTTTATAATAATTTGTGCTATAAATGATGTGTTTTTATTTTCTAAAATTAGGAATTTTGTGCTAAAATTACAAACTTACATCACTCTCCCGCACCGAGCTATTATACACTATTATAGAATCTTGATTTGTTCCTATCAATAATGATTTTTAATTTCTTATGCTTAAATTTAGCTCATAAAATTATTATTATCTTAATGTTAATCATGTTTTTTTTAAATAAAAAATTATAATTAATAAGTGTCCCCTCTAATTTAATTTCCTAGCTCCGCCATTGTCCCCAGGCGATGTAGGATTGCCCCATCAAATTAATGAAGCTTTTGATAGGTTGAATTACTACAACATATAAAAGTTTTAGAGACCAAATTTTTTAGTCTCTGAAAGTGATAATTTTGTTGCAAAAGACATTTAGGGATCAATTTCTATCGTCGTGAGGATAGTCGCTGAAAGGTCAGCCCGAAAAATAAAAAGCAAGGCTTTTAGCGACAAAATTTTGAAAATGTCACTAATAAATAGACTTTTAAGAACAAAATAATTTGGTCTCAAAATGGTTTTTTTTTTGAGACAAAAAATTTGGTCCCAAAAAAATAATAATTCATCACTAATGTTCAATTTTCCTTGCTAAAAATATAATAACATTTTTTGCAACAAAAATATTTAGTCCTTAAAAAATAATTTTGTTCCTAAATTTTAGTTTCTAAAACCTTAATTTTTTGTAGTGAATCATACGTTCATGCACAGAGAGAGAAACACATATAAGAACATCTTCATATAAAAGATATTGCTTCTTTCAATTAAGTACAAAATCAATTATAAGCTACATATAGCATTATTCTTACCCTTCTAACTCTTATTGTGAATGGGCCAGTGATGAAACACTCCCTTTATGCACCAATTTATAGTGTTGACAACAAATTAACAGCAAAATATTATGGGTATTATACTTTGCTCAGTGGAAGAAGAAATGTCATATGCTCAAACAGCAAAATGAGATGCCACTCCTCACTCAAAGAATCCTATGAGCGTTTCCGTACACTACAAAGTGCTTTTGGAATCAGAAACAGCACCAAAATTACTTTTATTACAGTTTGTGTTAAAACAAAAGGGTCCCAGAAGATGGGCCAGTTCACATAGCCTTCCTTCCTGGTGTACTTAGAAAGAAATGCCAACATTTGTGCCATTGTAGCTCACTAACGTTTGCAGTAATGACTATGTACTTAGAAAAAATAATCAGAAAAGTGTTTAGAATTTGAAATGTATGGATAAAATTCATTTTGGGTGGCCCATTCACACCAAGTTTAAATTTATACTATAATTTTAAATTACAAAGCATTTTTATTAACGTGTGTGTGAAAGAGATATAGAGATTCTTTTATTTTCAGGTAAGAGTGGAATCATCTACACTATTGTATGAGGGCAACCTCTTTTAATTTGATTGGTTTGGCTTTCTTTATTTTTGCATATTTGCTTACTTCGATTGTTTGGTTATCAATCTAAGATCACTTGGTTAGCACTCCAAGTTTTTGACTGATATGGAGTTTTTTTGTATTTAGTATAGTCCCTAACAATCCTAATCCCTTGAGGATTCGATACCACTCCAAAGACAATGACCTTGGAACTCATATCCTCCACACTGGGTAAAAATTTCTATTGGAGTTTCAAGATCAATATTCTCTTCAGTACTCACTTCATCTTGTGCCAATTTTTGTGGGTTTCCAAGTAAAAGAGCTTTGATGTATTGTATTACTATAAAATGGCCAATTATTATTGAAAAGTAAATGGTATTAAAACTTGTAAAAAAAAAAAAAATTATTAGCTTTGATTAATATTTGTTGTGAACTAAGAACCTATGTGAATCATTGGTTTAATGTAACAAAAAATTATATCTTCAGTCTACTATTTGTTCTGGCCATGATTCGTTTATGCACCTCATGCTATGGTTTGAATATATGAATAAATAAATAAAGCGATAAATAAAAAATTTGTAACTCTTACATTACCTTGATTATTGTGTGATGTTTTATTTTAAGTGTAATCCAAAGGTCACAAATCTTTCATGATCATTTTTATGAAAGACTTTTCATGATACCTAACATTGTTGTAACCATAATAAACGAAAGTAGTCTAAATCTTCTATGTTTTATGACTTGCATTAATTATTCTGTATATTTGTATTATTGTATGTAGTTGCATTGATTATTCTCAACTTATAGATCAACGATGTTTCAACATTTGTAAGAGAGACTAAGAATTTGAACTCAATTAATTATCCATCGAACGGACAATTTGAAATCAAAGTCACAAAAATGGGGGCATTGTAAATATATTGAGGTAGCTTCCCAGATTGAAAAATTGTGAACTTTGAAACCTCCAAATAACTAAAGCCATTCCCATTAAAAAACCTCTTCAACCAAATTTTATTGACTCTATCAGGATCAGAGCTCTCACATTCGTAAACCAACCCAAGCACACCAACTCTTTGTCTCCAACCCTAAATTCTTCTAGGATCAGAGCTCTCACATTCGTAAACCAACCCAAGCACACCAACTCTTTGTCTCCAACCCTAAATTCTTCTTTCACTCTCTTCAGTACCCGCGATGAATCGATCGATGAGAGCCGCCATTGCGAGAGTAATGGAGGGTTCAATGGGTTCTTCATCCTCCTCGACGTGGCTGATTGAGGCAGAGATTAGGGGCTTGGCGTGTGGAATTCGCCGCCACCGTAGAGGCAGAGGCGGAGGCGGAAGCGGAAGCGGAAGCGGAAGCGGAGGGCGACGAGGCTGGAGGAGAGCTCGCGGTTTGCCCCATTGGAAAACAAGTGTGCTTTCTTTTCCCTTTTTTTAACACCAAAAACAGACGCTCCCTGGCATCATAGATTCGTTGGCCTTGGTCCGGTGGTTCATAGGAAGCGACTCGCTATTACGGTAATAACAGACCTTACCCATCTCCGTAACAAAAGACAGAGTTACGGTCGACATATAACATATTTATCTTGCAAAATTCGTAGTCCCAGGATTCGAGCCTCCTCTTTCATGTGAAAAGCTGATGCGCTATCCACGCTATCACAACCCCGGAGGTGAAAAAAAGTGTGCTTGGATTTAGGGCTTTTATACTATCAAAAAACCAACGTCGTTTTCACGACTTAGGAATACACTCACGGTAAAAAAATACATTTCAAATGATCAAAAGAACACATAAAAATTTGCTTCAAACCTATCAGAAGTAGGATGAGATCCTCTAAAATGATTTTTCTTAACATGTCGTGTACATTTAAAATTAATATAATTTGTGTTACACTCAATGAATATAGATTATTCATTCTTTTTTAATAAAATTTTATAAATTTGTAGCATTGTTATTTTTTATTTTAATTCAAATGACTCTATTTTTTTTTTATCAGCGAAAAAATAATATTAATGAAATTAGAAAGTAAAAGATTACAAGTAAAAACCAGAGTCGGCCCTGAGTTTCTAGGAGACTAAGACGAAATAATTTTCCCGGGCCTTTTCAGATATTAATAAAAAAATAAAAAAAAAATCACTCTGTTTGGTTTAGAGTTTTCAAAAATAATTGTCTGAGTTTGCAATTCGTATTTTTTTTTATATTTTTTGTATTTTGTAACTTTAAAAAAAAAATTTAAAAAATACAAATATTATAGTTTTTAAGCGTATCTAAATTAGATGTATCTACAAAATAAATAAATAAAAATTGTGTAAAATATTTTTTTAAAAAAATACTAAAAAACACATAATTGGCCATAAAGAGAGGGGGAAAAAAGATAGGCCACACAAAATTAGGCTAA